AACAAAGTAACAAGAAATAAATAGATGTGACTCTGTAAGAGTTTACCTTCTCTTTAAAATTAAAATGTTCACAGCCCATTCATTTTCTTTTCTTTTTTCTTTTTTTTTGGAGAGGTTTTTGCTATAGGGCACGTGCGCTCACCAGAGAGACAGAAAGCGAGAAATCACTTCCCAGGGGGATGGCCACACCGCAATCCCTTCTCCTCCATTCTCCTCTTGGGATCTTGGGCATGCATGCACACGTACCCAACAAGAGTTTAAGCCACCGGGTCCGGGGCTCAACCCACGGTCGGCTACATGGGAGTTCAGCGACATAGCCATTATGCTAATTGCTAGTCCCCACAGCCCATTTTCTTTACAAAAAAAAAAACCAATATGTGCATAAGACAGAATAAGGAAAATAAAACTTTGAAAATGCCTATGCTAAAATAAAAAAAAGAGTTCATTTTCTCTGGGGGGTTCATTTGGGCTCTCAAAGTCTAGAAGAGGTACCCTCCCTTCATGTTACCCAGAACGCTTCCCATTCAAATTACTTAATTACATTACCATAATTGTCTGGTTAATTGTGCCAGGTCAGAAACCTGGTCTTCTTTACATTTATATACTCAACTCCAAATATAGTGGGGCTTCAATAGAAAAAGCAATGAAAAAACATTTTTTGAATAAAAAAAACTTATAAACTTCAAAAAGAAATAAAAACTTTATAGAACATTTTGAAATTTTCCAATTTTTTATTCTAGGGTTACAGTTGTTAAAAGTAAATAAAGGTAATCAATTCTCTGCTTCAGATGCATCTTCCATCATTGCCAAAGCTCCCTATGGAACTCCATTCAGCAAAACAAAGGCATCCATGGTCACTAATTACATTTTCATAAAGACCTATAAAAATTACAATGCAGAGCCAATAGGTGGCATGGTGGTTAAAGTGTTGGACTTCCATCAAGTCAACTGAGGTTCCAGTCCCGGACAGGGCTTGCTTTCTCTCTTTCTCTCTCTCTGGTCCAATTAAATAATAATAATGATGATGATGATGATGATAACAACAAATGGAACTAAGCAAGTAAATAATTCTTTTAAAAAATTATAATGCAACTTTTTTGTTTAGGTGTTAAGATCTAAGATGAATAAATAATCTCAAATATTTTCCAAAATTGCCCATTCTTAAGTTAATTCCTGTATAAACCTTAATAAATGTAAAACTAAGGCAAAGTGATTCATAAACATCAGCTTAACTTGGTAATTAAAAATGTTCCTCATTAAACAGCTAATAGGATGTACCACATTTAATTTTATGTTCTTTTGGCATTTCATAAAAAGGAATATCACCATTACCATACTAAATTATTTACAAATACAATTTTACTGCCTATGGTATCTTTCAAATACAAATTTACATTTTATTACTTAGTGATGTAATGTATTTCCTATAATTAAGCAAATACGTTAAACCCTATAATATACTTACCCAAGAGCGTTTTTCTGCTTTTCTCCAAAATCAAATGGAACAGTAATAACTGCATCATTTGCATCTGAGCCCAAGACAGAATGCGCTGTTTCTGTATGTTAAAAAATATATAAAAATAAATTTTGATGCCAGGGAAAAATAGGAATGCTTTTCTCCCCTGAAGTTTATTAATTTATGCCAAAGATCTTCTCAATAAAACAAATTTCCAATTCACTCAATTGCACCCTGTTAATTTTCTTCTCTTACACTCTCAAATGATGTAATGTTCTGTGGTTTTTGGTGACAGTTTGTGAACAAAAAACTAGGTATTTTCTAAAAAGCCTGGCTCCTAAGCTTCAAATCTCCCAAATGAGACTGGTTCCACAGAGAATGAGCTTCTATTGGGCCAATGTGAAGACTAAGCATCATAACATTAGCTCAATATATTAAAAGGCTGCCCTCCATCCCACAAATTTATAACAATCCTGGAGCTCAAAGAGTCTTACAGATGATTTATTTCAAAACTCCCCAAACTGTTCCATGTTATACTGCTCAACTCAGAGCCTTTCTCTGGAGTAGTGATAAAAATCAGACCTACTTAATCTGCCTAAATTATTGAGAGTACACTGTCAAGCTTAGAGAGAGAGATTATGTTGACTATTCACCAAGCTTATTTGTCCACTGGCTCTTAAATTTCAAAGGTGCAAATCTGGCCCAATCCATTATGTCACTCACAGGAAAATCAAATTCAGAGAATGTCAATCATTTAATCAAAGTCACAAAGCCAATTAATTAGTGGCCAACTCAGGTTTATAATGTAAGGTTCTCCTAAGATCCAAAATTACCTTTTATAAGTAAATTTTTAAAAGGTTATTAAAATGAACTCTTATTTGTTCAATACCTTTCATTTTACTAAATATCAGTCTGGCAACATCTTCAGGGTTAATGAATTTTGTTTCTTCTCCAGTATCTATTTCATACCGTAATTTCCCATTTTTTTCAGTTACCTATAAAAGAAATTTTAAGTGCACTAAATAAGAAATAATTTAAATAGAAATGTAAAGTTTCAAATCAACACTGTATGTCATAACCTTAGCAATTATTCTGTACAATATGGAAGCAATAATAGAACCATACTCACTAAGCATTTACTTTCCATCATGTATTTCTGAGCTTGTGGATCATCGGAGCTGTCCATTTAAAAAAGAGAGAGAGAGACAGCTAAGTATTAAAGTCACTATTATACATGATTTAAAGACTAATTTTCAAGTCTTTAAATACAAAAGAAAAATTACATGGAGCACTTGCAATAGTACTAGTAATTCTACTCAAGTGTTAATCTTCTCATTTGAAAGTAAATAGTGCTTTCTTGTTTTAACCTTTCTATTAACAGGTGCTATCCACTTCTGGTGTCTTTTCATAATATTAATGTTCTATACCATATACTTTGACATGTATGACCCTGAAGACTCAACCACTGAGATGAAAAAAGCAAAAGGAGCTAAGATTGTAAACTAAGGGCAAACCAGGATAATTAATATCATCTTTCTTGCTTGATTGCTGAACATAAACCAACACTCCAAACGAATGAATTTATATATGCAAAGGTGAAGACTATTATAGACATGTATATATAAACATATTTACAATAATGTCCCAGAGTAAGTACTAAATTAATGTGTATGATACTGGAAAAATTAAAACAATGGTGTTATATCACTCACAATAGTAATACAAATTTATGCAGACTACAAAATGCCTCACAAATATTACCTCACTCAATCTTCGTAACACCCAAGTTGGGTACATTTGGCATTATTTAAGAGATAACAGGTTGGAGGACCAACAGGTAGTTAAGGTGCTGGATTCCCAAAAGGCTAACTGTGGTTCAAGTCACACATGTGTGTGTGTGCCCAAAATTTGGAGAGGAGAATGGAGAAGGGATTGTGGCATAGCCATCCCTCCTTGGGGGTGATCTCTCACTTTCTCTGTCTCTCTAGTGAGTGTATGCACCCTATAGCAAAAAATCTCTTAAAAAAAGAAAAAGTGATAACAGGTTCAGAGAAGAACAACGACTTATAAACTAGTAAGAGGGACAGCCAGTAGTCAACCCCAGGTCTTCTCTGTTATTATAGACATGTATATATAAACATATTTACAATAATGTCCCAGAGTAAGTACTAAATTAATGTGTATGATACTGGAAAAATTAAAACAATGGTGTTATATCACTCACAATAGTAATACAAATTTATGCAGACTACAAAATGCCTCACAAATATTACCTCACTCAATCTTCGTAACACCCAAGTTGGGTACATTTGGCATTATTTAAGAGATAACAGGTTGGAGGACCAACAGGTAGTTAAGGTGCTGGATTCCCAAAAGGCTAACTGTGGTTCAAGTCACACATGTGTGTGTGTGCCCAAATTTGGAGAGGAGAATGGAGAAGGGATTGTGGCATAGCCATCCCTCCTTGGGGGTGATCTCTCACTTTCTCTGTCTCTCTAGTGAGTGTATGCACCCTATAGCAAAAAATCTCTTAAAAAAAGAAAAAGTGATAACAGGTTCAGAGAAGAACAACGACTTATAAACTAGTAAGAGGGACAGCCAGTAGTCAACCCCAGGTCTTCTCTGTTAGGCCACAACTACTAACTCTTTGCCATACTGCCTCCCACTCTATTGTAAATGACCATGGTACTTTTGTCCCTTGAACAGAACTATGAAGAACCTGATTCTTGGCCTAGTTTCACCTAGAAATTAAGATAAAATAGATTAGTATCTTTTCACTTAACCCTTTTCCAAGGGACTGTTGCTAGTCTATTCAGGCACCAGGCTTAAATGTTTAAGGGTTGAAAATTAAAATTAATAGTGCCTAATTGCTTAAGGTTTATAGATCTGAGGACTTTAACATGTGTAAATAAGAGGCAGACAAAAGAAGTTTAAGATGGACTAATTTGACTTAGGACTCTGCAATCCCTGCAGGTTCTTTGTACTTACCTATCATCAAAAAATCAATTAAAACGAGAAAAACCAGACAAGTAGCTTGCCCACACCACATGACTATTAATGACATTCAGATCTTCAGTAGGTTAGTATTAATCCCACTAAACCTACTACTTGCCTCCCTTTTCCTAAATCCAATATTGAGGCTACAACCCAGATGAATAGTTTAAGAGTAGGAAAAAAAAAAAGATAAAGTATGCCCACAATGGGTTTTGTACCAATATTATAATTTCAGCCTGATACTGGTTGTTTTCTTTAGAATTTAAATAAACTAAGATAACTTGGTTATTAAGTGTAGGTTATAACCTACCACTCAGATCAGATAATTTGCCAGTAAGAAAATTTCATGGAATATATAGAACCTTTAGAAAAAGAAAATATTTCTCCATTGCCATGTAAAGAGGGCCTCTCTCATCTGTGGACAGAGCACATGTGGCTCTCAGGGCCATGAGGCAAGACACTGAAGACTAGTTAGCAGAAGCAGAAAGCAAAGAATGTAGGTGACAAAGGATCACTGATATCATCAGAAAGTAGCAGACTGACCCACCACTACATGTCAATAAAAACTTTATTTATAGTCAACATCAGGATTAATTATTTAGCAGAACAATGAAGGTGGTGGGAGGTTAGTATACACAGCACCTCATTTACATCAAGGTCTTCAGGAGGCAGAGTTAATCCTACCATTGTATCACAGCTTTACCCAGCAATACCATGTTCTCTTCCTCCTTAAATTTCTTTTATAGTCAGCAGGCCCGGAGGCTTAGTGTACAACAGCACTCACATGCTGCAGGGTGTTCTTCTCCCCCATTACATTATCATGCCTTACATGTCTAAAAGTGCTTTTACATTCATCTGTTCATTTGATCCTCACAACACCCCTGTGAGGTAGGTAGGACAGTGATTAGTTTCCCTCTTTACAGATGAGGAACCTGAGTTGTGGAATGGTGAGAAGACTTGTCTAAGTGTGAACAGGTAGTAATGGTTGGGCCTAGTTTTTAGGCAGGATTCCTGGGCTTCCTTTTTTACTGTCTCCCCTTATTGCAACTTTCCTCCCTTAATATATTAGAGTTTTCCAGCTTACTTCTTCAGGACCTTTTCCTTAAGTTTCATTCCATATTAGGGCTATTTCACCCATTAGATTTTCACAATACCACTTCCAAACTTTAACTCCATTTCTGACCTTTAGCACTTCTCTTATCTCCTATAAATCCCTGCCTATGTACTTTGCTACCATTAATAAATGTATATAGTATAGATCTAATTCTCCTTCAAGTACTTCCCCATTTTCCCAGAAAATCTAACCTATGTACATTAGTGTTCTCCAGCAATAACTGACACATATCCTTCCATAAAATGGACTGAATCAACTGAGACAACAGGTATATATGTATGTATGTCTGTGTGTGTGTGTGTGTGTGTGTGTGTGTGTGTGTATGTGTGTATCCACTTCAACATCTTAAGACATGTTCCTTTAAAGCAAGGAATATAAGTCTGGTGTGCTGCTTACAAGCTCATAATTAATATTTATACCATGGACTACTTCCTTAAAGTATTAACTGTTGGCAGTATTTCAAACATACATTATGTTGCTGTGACTGAAAATACTAAAATTAAATTTTATTCTCGTTTTGTCTTTATAAAAGTTATTTAAATGTTTTCCAGAAATGGGAGATGCTAGGAAAAAAAACAAATCACCTAGTATGGATCTCTCAATTTGGAGATAAAGAAACTGAGGCACAAAAAGGGCAAGTGGCTTGCCCAATGAAACAAAACTGTGACAGGATTTGATTCCAAGAGTTTCAGAATCCCAGCGTATTCTATACCACCTGCCTCCCCCATCCATCCCTTTTTTATCAGAGCAGCTTGCCTGCTGTGTACTCATGAACTCAGCAACTACAGGAGTGGTCCCTCTGTTACTCTATTTCTTACCTATGTATACTTCCAGCATTTAGGTAAACACTCAAGACTGCCAAATATAAAACAAAAACTTTCTCTCTCCTGATATGCCCACTCTCTTCCCCATTCCCTACTTCTAGATTACACAACTTCTTATATTTCAAAAACTGCTATTTTTACTTCCTGAAAATACTATGTAAACCACTAAAAGTTTTAAGTTAGTTTAATAGCGGTCAGTAATCATTTTCCTTCTAAAGGAAATTGGAGGTGTGAGTTTCACCTTCATCTCTCTGGAGTGTGTGTATATGTATGTGTGCTGGGAAGTAGGAATGGTGAAGAAATCTGTTGAGGGCTTGTGCTTTAAGAGTTATCTACCAAAGGCAGTTTCTATCCATACTGCCCTCTAGTGTTCCCAGCGTTAAAAGGGAAACACGGTTGTTGCCTTCTGCCAAATGTCATTAACTGGGTGAACTTCTGTCTACAACATTTGAGAAAAGAGTGACCTTGGAAAGTTCCTTAGAAGAAATAATTTCTAAAGCTTGCTCTCTATTATATACTAGACATAAAAAACAGCTAACAGAAAAGAATGCAATTAGCTAAAAGACTGGAAACAAATATAATCCAAACTGTTTCCACAATATTCAATGGCAACCAAAATTTAGGTATAGCTTATGCATATGAAAGGACCCAAAGATATGGAATGCAAAGAATTTACTTACATTTAATATTTTATAAAACAGCCAATATTTCATCATATCAAAGATTATTAATACGAACCATAGCACTCCACTGTGGCTCCCTGTCAGTTCTTAATAATATTCTCATGTTGACAGAAGACTAAGAACCAGTAAAATGAAAAAGGGAAAGATGGTTTGACTATTAAGAGTGCTTACTCAGACATGTCAGAGACAATAGCAGCAAAAACATGAGACAGGGGTACAAATACATGTTGTGCCAATACTAATCCAATGAGCCAGAGAGACACAATTAAAACATTAATATCCCAAACTACACGAAGCAGTCACATTAAACTAAAAAAAGATTCAATCAATGAGGTCATGGTGTACAGCATATTTCTATGTCTTGTAAACTGATGTGCCTCCCTCTATCTTTACCTCAGCCAATGTCTTGTGCACTAGTAACTCAGATGTGCATAGTGTTTTTAAACTTTGAAACCTTTTCATATTTGACCCTCACAACAACCCTGTGAGGTAGGCAGGACAGAAGTTATTATCTGTCCTCCATTTTACAGGGGACGAAACTGTTGTACAGAAGTAAACTAACAGTGACAAAGCCAGGACAAAGTAGTTCTCTTGGACTTGGCTCCATCTTCTATCAGACTACCCCTTGCATTTCTGAAAGGTCTTTCAAATTACTGGAAAACCTCGGGAAAAGGAACTAGCAAGAATGGTCCCTATTCAGTTTATCAATGGTTCATCCACTCTTTTTTTCTGAGCACACAGAAAAGGAGCCAAGATACCAGAAGATAGGTGTTGGAACTAGACTTCTACCAGTGTAGAAATATACCCTCTTACAATTGGTTCCTAACTTTTGGTATTTGAAATCAACCTCTGAAGCAACTTTTCAAGCCCTAGCTGAAAAGCACCAGTTGCCTCTTCCACTGCTGTGGCCAAGCGTCTGACTGCGATGACAGCATCCCTGCGGAGCTCATTGGCAGTGTCTTGCTGAGCACTGGCCTCCTCACCAATAGCAATCAGCCTGTCCAGTTTCTCTTCCTCACGTTTTGACAGTTCTCGTGCCAATCTCCTGTTTTCTGCCAATTCAGCTGCAATAGTCCTGGCCACTGACCGCCTTCTTCGCCTTGCCCACCTTGGAGCAGGCTCACTGGTCAAAGGCCTATGCCCACCAGAAACAAAATCAACTCTGGAAGAGGAGACTGGAGGCCGCGGTGTACAGGCTACACCAGGAGTGGTTCGGATGGTGCTGGTGCAGGGACTGGGATCACCGGACACACCCAGTCTGGTCATGGGACTGCTCTGACAGGGAGCAGCTGCACCTCTGAAAAGGTTGTGGGAGCTGCTGTAGCTGGGGGTCCCTTGAGAGCACCCTGAAAAACAAAGCAACAATGTTGCAGAGGACATTCCTACTAAGGGAATGCTTGGAGCCAGCAGCAGAGTTGAGACAATTACAAAACTAAGGTAGTCCCTGGAAAGGCTTTGTCCAGAAGGGATGAGAAATTTAATTTGGGCATTTGACCTGTTGTAATCCTAACTCCAAAACCTCCCCCTTGCTTTCCTGAACCCCTTTCCATTTGCTATCCAAACTGCTGTATACCCACAATCCCACTTCAAATAATGCTAAAACTAATTTGGTTCTAAAGAACATGGCTAGGTTTAAAGAGTTCCAACACCTTACACACCTAGGGTTGGAGCTTCTTAAAACCTGGAGCTCTTTATCTTACCATTAGGGTTTTGTTTTTTTTGTAAGGGTGGGGATAGGGCAAAAATAGGGACAAGTGCTACCTGTGATTAACTCACATACATTCAGGAGGCCAAGACAGAAAGCCCAGCTTCGGGAGCTCACTCATGGCAGATACTCAACTAAGGGCTTAATAGCTTAATGCCGAAGAGGACACTATCCAAACATACACTTATGTTTGGAGCTAAATGACTTTGGGACCCCAATTCTTCACATGCTTGGGAGTTACCTGCACCCGAGGATTCATCCCAGGAGTCCTCGAGGTCACTGGTTTCTCGCATCCGGTCACTGATCCTCAGCTGACAATCCTCATCTGATTCCTTAACTGTTTTCAGGATAGGCTGATGATCAGCTGCCTGAGTCCTTTTGGTTTTCAGAATGCTGGTTCCCTCTTCCCCTGGGGTGTCAGAGGTCACTAAGTTCTGATCACAGTGCTTGGCCCATGCAGCATCCTCCATTAAGTTCTCTGGGTCAGTCACTATCTGATTTCGGAGAAGCTGATCCAACGTATCATAAAAAGGACAGTGTGGCGGATCACCCACACTCGTTGCATGGGCAACATAGGCTTTTAAGTATAACGCCTTCAGAACTTTAAACTTGGAGCGGCACTGACGTTCGGTGCGGCGGAAGCCTTCCTGCTGCATTCGCTTAGATACAGCCTGATAGACATCTGCATTGTGATGCACAGTCTGGAGGCGCTGAATATATTCTGCCTCGCCTAGTATGGAGAGAAGAGTTCGTGTCTCCTGTCTGGACCACCGGATGCCCGCACTGCTATTAGTATTGGCCATAGTGGGCTGGGAAGGAAGGCTATTGAAGCAAGCTCCTGGGCAGCAAGGTGCAAATTTGAAGGTGTGGGGAAGTTCTGTGTGCTCTCAGTTTATTTCCAGGAGCCAGCCGATTCTGCCCTCTCAGGGCTAATTGCTGAGAAGCCAGGTCCAAGGACCGCATTTCTGGCTGGAAGGCCACAGGGGAATGAGAGTTACAGGGAGGGTGTAAGGATTTCTGGCAGCAAGTTAAGTGGTTCTATCTGTGACTAGGTCATACACAGGCAGAAGGCCAAGACTGAGAAAGCCCAACTGGGAATTCATGCAGGGTGGGCATTGGACTAGGGGCTTATTGGCTTGGTTACAAGATGACTGGCTTCTCCACAAAGGGCCCAATACTTCCCAAGTTGAGACCTGGTACAACTGTGTATCTGTCAAATCAGTACTGTCTAAGTATAAGCTAAGGGGGTAAATAACCTGGACTATGAGGCAGTTAGCTCAGCAGAAACACTAATAGGACCTTGGTATAAGTATCTGTGAAGGGCACTCATGCTTTACTAACTCTAGCCTAAGTGCATGCTGTGGCTACATGTTACTCATCTGACAGTCACTAATGTACTCCTTTGCTGGAAGGTTAACTTTCAGGGCCAGAGAAGCAAGCTTAAGTTTTTCTGCCAATATAAAGTTTTTTTCACAATATGTCAGAAGACAGATATATCATTATTCCAACCACCTGCCCTCATATAGAGATTAAACAAATGAGAACGTATTGTTGTCTACCAGGGAACAGATCAACGGAAATGTTCTATATCTCAACAATATCAATGCTAGAATCTTGATTGAGAGACTGTCCTATAGTTTTGCAAGATGTTATCACTGGGATACCACGGTTATCTCAAAGTGAAGTTTAATTAAAAAACAAACATATTGTTGGTTGCTCAGTGATTATGGCTTCAAGACCCATCTATAAACAACTTCCTGCTATTTTTCAGAGCTTATAATTTAAAAACATTTGACATGAACTAATTTATTTCTAACATAGAGTCATACGCCACTTAATGATGGGAATACACTCCATGAAATGCACTATTAGGTGATGTCGTGGTCAACCAAACATCACACAGTATGTTTCATTACTATACACCTAAGTGATATGGTATAGCCTATATGCTCCTTTTAGGAGCTCTGTTGCAATATATGGTCCACCATCGAAATGTCATGCATGGCATAATGACATTCTTGTCATGGCAGACCACATATACAATGATGGTTGCAATTAGAGCATTTACCACATAGCCTAGGCCACATCATCTAGGTTAGTATAAACACATTCTGTGATGTTCATACAACCATGAAGTCATTTGATGCTGTATTTCTTAGGACATGTATCCCCGTTGCTGTGACTATACTAAGTTTTGCCAACAAGTGAACGGATGTGGGAATATTATCATCACACAAATTTGAATTATCTCCAAAGCACTGTAATTTTGGGTTTATAGAATAGATATCCTAAGGAAAAAAATAAGCATCAACTTCAATTTAACTAAACACGGGTGAGATTTTAAAAATCCCATTGTATGAAGAAATAAATATTAAATCTATAATCTTCAAGTAGTAAAATTAACATGAGGAAATTTCTACTTAATTCTCACTAAACAAAGTAGAAAAGAAAGAACCTGGAACTGAGGGTAAGGCAACCTAATCTGCGGTCTTACCTACTTCATCCCCTCAATGAATGTAAAAATGCCACTTCTATGTGCTTGATTCTCTCATCTATAAATGGGGAGGCACAATATCAGCCCTACCAATTTTATAGGGATGTTGAGAGGATTAAGTAAAATAAAAGATGTGAAAGCACTTTGAAAATTTAAAAACCCTATCTATCAACTAGTACTACTCTAGTGAAAATGAAAACCCTTAATTATTATGGTAATCTATAATTTGAGGAGACAGAAGTCTGGGCAAGCAAGCTCCTTCAATCTTCTAATTAAAGTTACAACAGATGATTAACCTGATTCTTACATAAGATGTTAATTAAGCTATTTCTCTAATGATTAAATTTGTAAGCCAACTGAAAAAGTTAGTTCCCAGAAAGTGTCACAAAAGACCCTCAGGAAGAAAATCAATGTCTACATTGTGATAATTTTGCAAAATTTAACCACAGTGCAAAGTCCACAAATTCTTACAAAGTCTTTCAAGTTTCCTCAGTTAAAAAATATAAAAATGTGAACAGTCCAAATGAACACTTCTGAATGACACAAATGATCAAAACTAAAGGAATGTTGGCATTTACCAGTACTAACAGACCCTCTATCAAACAAATGGTTTAGTGAATCCTACCTTAGAGAAAACCAAACACTAATAATCAAAGGAGAGAACCTACTGGGGCACACTCTGAAATGATTCAGTCACAAAAAGCAATGAAAAAAAAAAAAAAAAAACTAAACTGATGTTTCTAGTTTCATTTCACATTATACTAAAAATGTGTATGATTTTATTAACCATATTTTTAAAAATATTTTTATTCCATACCTTCTGCCAAGGATCTGCTTTACTTTCATTACTGTATTTGAAATATTTCTTATTCTACTTTGTTTTGCTGCCAGCCCAACAACCTGAAAAAGAGCAGTATTATTATAATCCATGTCATTTTTAATTATTTCAAAGTGCTAAAATGAAGGGAACAGTACCTCCTCATTTTGTGAGTAAGCAACAACAGCTGGAGTAACTCTATCACCTGCATCATTTGCAACCACACCAGCCCGGCCATCCTAGAGAAAAAAACAACCATGATAGACTTTTGATGTCAAATATACACTCTCACAAGGCTCCATCAGACATATGTGGGTCAGTGCTACTTAGTCATCTATATGGAAGAAAAATTGCTATATCAATATTTTAAACTTGTAGGTTTAATTACTATTACTAATTATCCAGATTTTATAGAAGGCCTATACATCCCATGAAGTAATGCCTCATTTTTTTTTCCAGTCTCTTAATCTACTCTGTGTTTTCAATAACGGATTAATTACAACCTTTCAGTACAAATAACAAGCCTATTTTTATACCATCCTTACTATTTCTCTTCCTTTCTCCACAAATAAATCGTTTTTCTCTTTTCTACTAATCTCTTTGACTTTTCCTTACAAATGACCCAATATTTATAAATACCGGACCAGGGGCAGTGAAATTCATTATTACGGTTCCTTCTGCTGTTCAGATGGTTGAGGTGAAACCTATAACTCCTTGCCCAGCCTTCTCACTTCCAGAAAGCTTAGAATTTCACGATTAACTTGCTTCAGCGTCAGACACGCGCCGAAGGATCCAGTTTCAGACTGTGGACACCACGCCCCTCCGGGCAGACTTCTGGACCCATCTCTGCATGTCCTGCGGCCCTGGCCCTACAGTCCCAGAGATAGCCCCCGGCTCCGTGCATTCTGCGGTCACCACTGCCTCAAGACTGCCCGCCTGGGGACTCCTGTGGCTCTGACGTCCCCGGGACCCCGCCAATCCCCGGGCATCCTGAAGTCCTATCCCTGGGACCTTTTCGGACATCGTGACGCCCCGATGTCCCGAGTCCCTTCTCGGGCATATTGCAACCCTGACATCCCCTGGGACCCCTCCTCGGTACCATCCTGTGTGGCCCGACGTCCTGGATCCCTTCCCGGACATCTTGTGGCCACGACGTCCCCCGGGACCTCACGCGCCGGCGTCGCCACGAGCCTCCTCCAGGGCACGGAGGGCTTTCCAGAGGAGCTGCGGGGGGCGAGGCCGGGTCCGCCTCGAAACGTCCCCGCAGCAGCGCCCCTCCGCGCCACGTTCCAAGGCCGCGACACGCCATTCTCAAGCCTGGGACTGACCCCGCACCCAGAGGACGGGGGACCGACAAGAAGCCCGTGGCCCAGCACCCCTCAACCCTCTGTCACTCACTTTATAGACGGCCACACAGGCTGATGTGCAGCCCAGGTGAACTCCCATGGCCGCCATGAGGCGACAAGGAGGGCAGCAACGACGGGTCCCTCAGAGGGAACAGCTACTAGCCGCCAAACGTCCCCATCAGGCACCGCGGAGACTTCTCGTTCCCGCCCGCCCCTTGCGTCCGGCCCGCC